TTCAGAAGTATAGTGAATTACAGACTACTTTGACATTGTCATTATCTTCATTACAAAATAGTGTTATATAACTGGCACTCTAACATGTAAATTGATACATTAGGAACCAGTTCCATCTACACAAAATTACTGTGATGATTCTGTAGAATGTAGAAAAAGAAAATGTAATCATTACCTTCAGTGATAGCATTTATGACTAATGTACTGAGTTGTGTTTGGAGATACTCCTAATGCCCCTGGCCTTGAAATCTGAAAGATTTACTTAAGAATCAAACTGCTCACACTCATCTCCTTTTCTCTATTAGATTCTGTTGCTCATTTTTTTTTTTTTTTATGTTTTCTTTGGAAAGATGCTTTAGTTTTTATTAACCTAAGGAGTAATTCACTTTCAATTTTCCCCTTTTTAGGTTAATTTCTTTTATTGGGTATATGCTCTTTTCCTTAGGTACAGTATAAATAAATGAACTGTAGTTGTTAAAAAAAATCCGAATGTATTTACTATTGGAATTCCTTCCCCCTATGTTGAATACTAGCAGACTAGCTTTGAATGGTTCTCACTTCTGTTGTTGTTTTTTTAAGAATAATTATCACTTTGGTACAAGGAATTTTTAGGTCTTCAACTTCATTTGTCCTTGGTTACCCCTGGGGTTGAATTGGAAAAGGTTCAGAGTATTTAAAAGAATGATTTTGTTGTCGGTGGGACAGTAGAATGGAAAACTCTAAATTAACCACTAGAATTTGGAAATTGTCATGCAAGAAAAAGGAGACTCTTCTGTGAATCACTTGTAGATCTCTTGAAAATTGCAGTGGGCCAGTCCTTGGATCCACTCTGCTATACATGGCAAGCCTACCAATTCCATGCTGTTCTTCATTCAACTAGAGGTCTTGCACACGGTTTCTGTGTTTTTTAAATCTATCGCTAGAGAGTTTTTGGTTATTTCTGCCAATTACAAAAGCTTTTACAGCTTTTTAAATGGACTTTCTTGGTCCTTAGGCTTCCTAGATCACCCATGGTGGCATTATGTTCATTGTAGCTTACAGTCAAGTCTTATTTTTTAAAAATGTATTGGTATTGTAATTAATTTTTTAATTGAAAAATAGAATGTTAGGGCTAAATGATACCTTAGAAATCATATCTTCTGTCTCTTCAGTTGTATTATAAATCACTTTGCTATTAAAGGACCATTCGATTGCATTTATTTTAAGACCACAGGGTTAGAAGCATTGATTGGCTTCAAAGATAATTCTAGTCCCACCCTTTGTGATAGGTGAAATGTGCTCATAACATAATTTTGTCTTTATTTCATTAGTGATGCCTAACTTGCCCTTCCTGTTTACCACACCCAGATTTCATTTTATCCCTATTTCACCTGGAATCCTCACATGCACTCTTGTATAGAATTATTGCTCTGTTTATTACTAAGTGGAATCCATGTTGAATTTTAGCAGGTTTCTTCCCCCTCCATCTGTGTCTTTGATGGTAACTGGGTTTACTGCCACTCACTTATTAGTGCCCTGGGTCTTAACAACCTTATTCAAACAAAACATCTTAAATGGAGGCATTAAACAGGTCACAACAATGAGCCATTTTGTAACTTTAGGTGCAATAAAATGGGTATGTTGTGTTTTGGAATATAAGACCTCTGAGTACAGCTATTCATTTTCTTCATCTATAAAACATTTTAGAATAACAGCCTACATCTGTTTGGGGGTATAAAATTCCACGTTTTGAAGAAACATCACTGTTATGTAACTTCAAGGCAGATGTGGGGAGGGACCTTGCTTTCTGACGGGCCCGCGTTCTGTAGACGTTGGGAATAGTGTTTGTTTTAGCTATGGAGCTGTATTTGCTGGCAGCCCATCTTTCACATGTGTGGAACACATTTTCATTATTGTTTATTCATATTGTAAATGACAACAAGTGTGTGATACAATTTTGACTTGAAGAATATTTGAAAAATTTTCACACAGCAGGAATTTATGAGGGATATTTCACTACTAGAAGTCAGAAGCAAATTTAATTATTTAGGCATTTATAGCATATTTAATTACTTCAGACTGTCAATCTTGTTTTAGGGAGTAAAGCTGGGGTTTACTGTCGGCCCTCTTTTTAAAATAAATACCCAGTGGAATAGTACAGCCAACCGTTCCAAATGTGTGATTTTAAAATTATTTCTTTAAACTGAAGGAACAACTCAATGAGTAACTTTCAGTAGAGGAAATGGGCAAAATGTTTAATGATAGAATTCAAAATCTAAAGTATTAAGTACCAAATAAGTGTAGATAACATTCAATGCAATTTGTAGGTGATTTTAATTGAGAAGTGAATGATGCTAACGTGGATTGTTAGAGTAAATTTTAAAGCTTTTTTCGTCTTATAAATGTGAAATATTTATCTTCCTACTAATCCATAATCATACTACCTGTCTTTTGGGGCATATTTTGTTACATATTATAGAGTTTAAAAAATTTGGAAAAGCTTTTAGAAACCTATTACACAGTCAAGTTATTGTTTTGATAATTAATTGGAAATATAACAGTTGAGTTTCAGAATGGATAGTGTCAGATGCTTTTATGTTTTTGTGACAATAAAAAACTAAATTTAACTACTCTTAGGGAAATTTGACATTCAGGGTGGGCTGGCTGCCTGTTTATGATGATAACAAACTTCTCTGAGATTCTAGCTTGTCAAATTAGTCCAGGCTGTTGACATTGATCTTTTTTCTTGTTGACATTTCCTTCCTGAATGGTAGACAGATTTTCTTTCTGTGGTCACTGTCTGTCAAATTTGGGGCCATCATTTGCTGTAGCTGAGTAAGACAGATGATGCTAATCTTTAAATTTCTGATTAAATATAAATATTTAAGAAATAACAATGCCAGGCCAAGGCGGGTGGATCACCTGAGGTCAGAAGTTCGAGACCAGCCTGGCCAACATGGTGAAACCCCGTCTCTACTAAAAATACAAAAATTAGCCAGGTATGGTGGCATATGCCTGTAATCACAGCTACTTGGGAAGCTGAGGCAGGAGAATTGCTTGAGCCTGGGAGACGGAGGTTGCACTTAGCCGAGATCGTGCCACTGCGCTCTAGCCTGACCGACAGAGCAAGACTCTGTCTCAAAAAAACAAACAAAGAAAGAAAGAATGCCCTCAATTCACGTGAAGGTAAATACCCATTAATTCCTCTGAAACTGGGACATTACAGCCACGCCTGCCCACCCACATGTAGTGATAGTGATAATGTTCAAAGTCCACATTTACTTTTCCCTTGCAGCTGGGCTGCCTGTGCAATGCCAGTACTGGGCCCGTGGCGTGTGCGTGCCCGTGGGCATCACCACCACCAGCACTGGTCCCCTGGGCTGTGACTGGACATTACTTCAGCTGCTGGGTGGGGTCCACTGGTGTTAAGACATTTTTATCTTAGGAAATATGACATGGGTGTCTTAAGTTTGAATTTCAGAAAATTAATAACAGATTGTACTGTGGGTGAATTTATATGCAGATAATTTAGATGTCTCCTGGGGATAGTGGTAGTTAGACAAAACTCTAGAGTCAGATTGTCTGGGCTTCTTACCTCCTAACTGCCTTTAGGCAAGTTACACAGCGTCTTTGAACCTCATTCTCGTCAACTATAAAATGAAGGAAGTAATACTACTTAACTGTCTCAGCATGCGTTATGAGGATTCAGTGAAATGAAGCTTACAGAGTGCTTATTTGCAGATATCTGGCACATGAGAAGTGTTGGTGGTTCTAGCCCTTACTGTTAGACAGCTCACTGTAAATACCTAACTCTAAGTGTGACGCTTCTCTTGACCGCTCATACTTCATTACTACAGATGACTCCCCTCCCCAGCTGTGCCTGGGACTTGATCAGCGCTCAGACCCACGTCCGCCTGTGTTTTGTTAGAATCTCTCCAGTCCCCCAGCATTGACTGACTTGGTGATCCTTCCTTGAGGGGTGTGGGCTTCCCACTCCCACACTGGCTGCTCCGTTCCTGGAGTCCTGTTTCTCAAGTTTGACTCTTGTAGGTAGCTCTGTCTGCTGCCTCTTTCTTCCCTCCACCTACCCTTGCCCTCCAGCCTCCTCCCTCTCCTTTCCTTCTCTGCCCCGTTTTCTGTCTTCTGTCCTCCTCTCTGCCCCCGCACCCTCTACCTCCCTGCTTTTGTTCCCCTTTCCTGCTTCCTTTTTTACCCGCCTCTTTTCCTCTCTCCACTTTTTCCTTTTCTTCCACTCCTTTCTCTCTCCCCTTCTCTTCCTGCTCCCTCTTTCCTCTCTGTTGTCTCCTCATTCCCCTAACACTTCTCCCCCTACTTTACCTTTCTTCTCTCTCCTCTGGGTTTCTCCTTTAAATCCTAACACTTTACCTGCTAAGGAGTAGACAGCCTTGGCTCTTAAGCACAGAAATGTCAAGTCCTAAAGTGTTTTCATTATGCTGGGAAATATTTATTTTGTCATTTCAGTAGCCAGACTGTTGTGCTTCTCTTTCCATTTCAAAGGGGCTTCACAACATCATTTTATGTCCCTTGGGCTCAAAACTTAGAAGATCACCAGGCTCAGTGGCTCACGCCTGTAATCCCAGCACTTTTGGAGGCCAAGTCAGGTAGATTGCTTGAGCCCACGAGTTTGAGAACAACCTGGGAAACATGGTGAAACCCCATCTCTAAAGAAAACATACAAATATTAGCTGAGTGTGGCGGCGTGTGCTTGTAGTCCCAGCTACTCTGATGGCTGAGGTGGAAAAATCTCGTGAGCCTGGGAGGTCGAGGGTGGTGATCTGTCAGCCTAAGTGACAGAGCGAGACTTCATCTCAGCAAAAAATAAAAATCCACAGGCCACAGTTTAACTCTTTTTCTAAACATTATGTCTACTATAACTGTGAATTTGTTTGATATTAGCTTTGTTGTAAAGTTGAAGTAATAATTACAGGCTCGTATAGTCATACAGACAAACTTGGCTCTTTTTTGCCTAATTTATTTGATTTTTTTTTTTCTCTCTTCAGATTCCTTTTTCTCTGGTCCAGTTTCCCTTATGGGAGTCCTTAAAAGTAAGTTTCTCAATCTTCACATAAAATTTATCTCTAATTATAACATACCTAATAGTTTGAGTGTGAAAGAGTAGAACATAATGTTGACTAGAAGTTCAGCAACCGAAACCTATTAGCAGTTGAAAATACATTTTATGTGTGATTTACATGCAGTTTCAGCCTTTTAAACTTGTTCAGGTGGCTGTGCTCCTAGGAAATAGGCATAGCAGGTGGCACTGAAATCCATAGATAATAAAAAAAACTTAGCTTTACTTTTTTCCATATTGCCAGTCTTTATCCACTGTTAAATTTCATTTTGCTTTGTGTGTGTGTGTGTGTGTTTAGAAGTCAAAGACTTAACAGTGAGGGTAAATGGGAGAGGAAAAATGCAAAGCCTTGAATACTTAAAGACTACGAAGGACCAGCTCCCCCAGCACCCTATATAAGGACCACTCGGATGGGGAGCAGCAGGGTCTCAGGGCTCTGACTGTCCCTTCCATCTCGGTTGCTCACTCCAGCCAGGACTAGGAGCCTCCAGAGGGAAAGAGCAGAGTGTGGTGAGTTGTGAGACAACCTTGGGGAAGGTCAGTGAGCTATTTATAAAAAACAACATGTTTTAACCATCAAGGACATGGGCATGGGCAAGTATTTCATGAGGAAAACATCAAAAGCAATTGCAACAAAAGCCAAAATTGACAAGTGGGATCTAATTAAACTAAAGAGCTTCTGCACAGTGAAAGAAACTATCGTCAGAGTGTTCAGACTGTCTACAGAACAGGAGGAAATTTTTACAACCTATTCGTCTGACAAAGGTCTAATATCCAGAGTCCACAAGTAACTTAAACGAATTAAAAGAAAAAAACAATCCCATTAAAAAGTGAGCGGAGGACATGAACAGACACTTCTCAAGACTTTCATGCAGCCAACAAATACATGAGAAAAAGCTCGATATCACTGATTATTAGAGAAATGCAAATCAAAACCACAGTGAGATACTATCTCACGCAAGTCACAATGGTGATTATTAAAAAGTCAAGAAACAACAGATGCTGATGAAGCTTGGGAGAAAAGGGAACACTTTTACTTTTGTTGGCGGGAATGTAAATTAGTTCAACCGTTGTAGAAGACAGTGTGGCGATTTCTCAAAGACCTAGAACCAGAAATACCATTTGGCTCAGCAATCCCATTACTGGGTATATACCCAAAGGAATATAAATCATTCTGTGATAAAGATACATACATGCGTATGTTCATTTCAGCACTATTTATAATAACAAATACACGGAATCAACCCAAATGCCCATCAATGATAGACTGCATAAAGAAAATGTGGTATATACGCACCATGGAATACTATGCAGCCATAAAGAAGGAATGAGATCGTGTCCTTCGCAGGGACATGGATGGAGCTGGAAGCCATTATCCTCAGCAAACTAATGCAGGAACAGAAAAACAAACACTGCGTCTTCTCACTTGTAAGTGGGAGCTGAACAAGGAGAACACATGGACACAGGGAGAAGAACAACACACAATGCCAGGGGCCTGGGAAGGAGAAGGAGAGCATCAGGAAAAATAGCTAATGTGTGCTGGGCTTAATACTTAGGTGATGGGTTGATACATGCAGCAAACCACCATGGGACACATTTACCTGTGTAACAAACGTGCACATCCTGCACACATACCCCGGAACTTGAAAAACAACAACAACAACAAAACACATTTTAAAAAGCCTATATTCAAAACATGCAGAGGCATTGCATTGGTTTTTCACCTTCTGGTGCAGTGATACTGAAAACTGTGGGCCATGATATGAATTGTGTGGGTCTTTGTCAGCATTTTAAAGACAATAATAAAGAACAATATAGTAGAGGGCATCTTAAATGGTAAGAGTAAATTTTATTTTGTAAGACCTCAGTGTTATGTATGCATGCACACACACATGTATCTGTACTAGGTTGCAATGTAAAATGTATTTCTCGCTGTGGATAATGGTCCAGAAACTTTGAAAGCCCTTGTTCTAGTGAAGATGGTTCATAAATGACCAGGCTATAAAATAATCTAGGTAGGCATTAGCTAATACAAAAATAAAGAAATTACTCTCACAATTTTATAGATTTACTAGTCATGGAGTGCTCATACAAAATGCCTTTTGAGGAGTATCATAAAAATTATTTGGACTTAGAAATAAATTGTTGAGGTTATATACTAAATGATACTAAATTGAGAAAAAACAGTCATTAGCAAAGTAAATTATGGGATGTTAAGTATTGAGAAGTATTTCTTATAAGTGATCTGATTTTAAGGAGGAGTATTGCTCATTTAATATAGTTTTTTGGCTCTTTTGTTGTTTTGTTTGTTTTACCATTTCCTATGTGGTGCGTGGTGAAAATAGAGTTCTCGGGCAGTGTTTCAGGTCATGATGTAACAGCTATCCAATGAGAAGGTCACATTCCATTAGCATAACAGCTCTCCTTTTTAGTGTGTGACAAAAGAACAATGAAGCCAACAGCTGTCCAGCAAACAAGACTTACTTTATTAGTGTCTCAATAACCAGCATTCACACAGCTTCTGCACACTCTAACATCCTTATGCCCTAACTCTGCAAAGGAATGTTTCGAGGCCTAAAGAAGGAAAAAGCATAGTGTTTATTTCTTTTCAATATTAAGGACATTTGTAGAATTCTAGCTAGTTAAGAAATGTCCAGAATTTTTCAGAGTAATCATAGATGACAATGCTGTGATTTAAAAATTCTCTTTGAGCAAATGTTAAGATGCTGCAATTTTTTTTTTCTATCAAGTCAGGTTTCTTGAGGAATACTTTGCATATGATAAAATTCACTCTTTATACATGTACATTTTTATGAGTTTCAATAAATGTTTATAACCACCACCATAACCAAAATAGAGTATTTCCATCAACCCAGAAAGTTCCCTCATGCCATGTTGTAGTCAGTGCCCTTCCTCTACCCACAGCCCCTGTGAGCCACTGTTCTGTAGTCTTCTGTTTTCCAGAACATCGTAGAAATAGATACAGGGTACTATTATACCATCTTATGCTTTGCTTTTTTTGCTTAATGTAATATTTTTGAGATTCTTTCATGTTGTTGCTTGTACTGGTAGTTTGTTTTATTTTACTTTGTAGTATTCCATATGTGTATAGATATGCTACAATTTATTCACTAGTTTATACACATTTGACTTGTTTTCCAGTTTTTGATGGTTATAAATAAAGCTGTTGTAAATATTTGCATATAGCATTGGTAGGGACATAAGTTTTTACTTCTCTAGGGTAAGAGGCCAGGAGTAGCATCCCTGGGTCATACAGAAGGTATATGTTTAATTTTTTAAGAAACAAACTGTCAAGGTGTTTTCCAAAGTGGCTGTACCAGTTTGCATTCCTACCAACAGTGTATGAGAGTTCTAGTTGCCCTACATCCGTGTCATTTCTCGTTACTATTAGATTAAAATTTTTTTTCCAGCCATTCTAGTACTTGTGAATTGGTATCTCGTTGGGGTTTTAATTTCTGGTTCCCTCATGAATAAATAATGTTGAGCATCTTTTCCTATAATACTGTTTTTTAAACATCTGAATGTACAATCACAATACTTTTGTAGAAGTAGACAATTTTTGGAGCTTTTTTATTTTTGTGTTTACAATTTTATCTGTTTAAATTTGAGTTTGCAGTTATAGAAGGAGATTATATTATATGAAAGGATTTCTCCACTGTGTTTATTTATGTTTATGTGGGAATACCATTCAGGGAAATTTTTCTCAGCCAAGACTAGCAGATTGCATACATATGGCACTGCAGGGAGTAAGGGGCTGGAGGTGGTAGCCACTGTTATCTTAAATTCAACTCTGTCTAAAATAAAAGTCATCATCTTTCGTATAAAATCATGTCTTCCCGCTGTCTCCCGTTTCTATTAATCAGTATTCTCCTGGCCACCTATTCTCAAGTCTCCGATTAAAATTTGATTCCCGTGTTTCTCTTTCTCCATATCACATTACTCAACAAATTTTGTTTACTTGACTGTTGGGAATTTGTGGCCACATTTCACCTGATTCTTAGTGCCTTACACTTGCCCACATCCTGGTAGGTTCCCTTCTTTCTCATCCATTCTACATTTTGTATGTGTCTGATCTTCCTTAAACTTCTCTTTCAGTAACACTTAGGTTCTCAGGAACATATAACTTTCTAAAACTCTGAAACGTGAAGTTCTTGGAATTCAGGGTTCTCCACACTGTGTCCTTGACTGGTTTTTTGAGCTTCTTCCCTATTACTCTGTGTGTGTGTGTGTGTGTGTGTGTGTGTGTGTGTGTGTGTGTGTACGTACAAAATTCTTTCCCTCCAGCCAGAATAGCCTCCTTACTGCCTCTGAATATGTTCTCCCCTTTCTTGTTCTCTGACTCCTTTCTGAAGTATGCTTCCAAGGATCCAAAAGAGATGCCGCATTCAAAGCTCAGTTCAGTGTTTGATCTCCTGCTTGAAGTCTTCTAATCGAGGCCTTGAAGAGTTGCCCTTACCACAGATTTGTCTGTATCACTGACTCGTATTTAATCACCCTATTGTGTTTAAAACATCTTAACAGTGTTCGGATAAGGCCTTAACCCCTTCAGTTTACAAATAAATGATACCTGCTGTCATTGCACCTCTGGTACCTGTCTACTCTGAGCTGGACATGGTTGCATTTCATAAGAATGCAAAGATGAATAAGAAATGACTTAATGCCCTTGAGGAGCTGAGAGTCGATCAGAGCAGCACACAACTCGCTGATACCTTTAATGTGTCTCGAAGTGCAGAATACTCGCTACCCAAATCCTGTTACTATGCTACATCATTTTCTTTGTTTTTCTTTTCTATATTATACTTTATGCTTACAAAAGCATATTTTAGATGAAAGAGGACAAGACGCCATAAAGAGATGGGGAAGCAAAAGCAGTAGTTTATCATATCCAAAGTCTTAGAGAAGATAATTTTCCTTGAAGATTGATATTTACTTTGGAACTTTCTGGCAGCCCAA